CTACGCAAGCGAAGTTGGCCTCTCCCTCCTGGTCTAACGTCACAGCGTTCCTCGCAAGGAAACCGCTGTGATACATGACAGCTCGGTTTAGTTGCAGCGGCAAAAATACACACAGGACACAGCTTACTGATGTTCTGATACTCACAACTTCACTTACCTCAGCTAAAACAGTTTAAAAATCTGAAAGCACGCGTACGTACGTACTCGCTATCCTCATGAACTACGCCACGCATGGAATACGAATTCCGAGCCTGCAATCTTTCCTCCGCTCAGATGCCTGCATGCGCTCGGCACCATGCCACCGAGCGATTATCACATGAGATCGAGACAATGTGCTAGCTAGCGAGCCTGAGATTGCCTGAAATCGTCTTACATCGGAGGGAATAGCCGCGGGAAATCAAACCCGCGGGACTGAACGCATTCTCCTTATCGTTGAACGCAAATAATGTAACTGCTTTTAATGTACTTTTACTAACATGAAATAACAGGCACATATCAGTATGAGCTGACGAACATCATGCCAGTTAGACCTGAAAATAGTCCGCTACCGTCCAGACAACCCTTCCCATGTATCACTACTGACTGCAAAAGCCTATTAGGAGCAAAGATGAGGTTGTTGATCTAACGGCTAAAGCTACTCTCAAAAGAAGCTGAGTGACTTTTCCTTCATAGTGCAAACCATCTGTCGATCATGCATTAATCTCTCACATGAACTCGTCAGACGCAAGACGTCAAACAACCCTAAAACACAGTTTCTCTCAGGTAAGGAAATTTCCGTGCGAAATCGGGCACCGCGATATTTTCGGGTCACGTTGAATTAAGTCCCCTTATCGCTTTTTGTGTGAAGGTTAGCAAAAGCATGTTCAAATCCATAGCTTTAAAATAAAAATCGTTTGTTTTAAACATCTTATTAAATCGTTCCATCCATTATATTCTTTTATCCATTTTAACAACCCGTAACAAAAACCTAGCAATTGACCATCGTTTAGTCCACCTCGGACGTACGTTTCAGCACGAGCGCGGAGAACAGAATTGGCGAGCAAGGCACTTACCCCAGAAGGCTTCACTACTGTGATGGACTGCTGTTTAAAAATAAAAATAAGGGAGATGAATTTGGTGAATTATCTCGGAGTCATTAGTTGAATTCTAATAAGGAGATGATGTATTTATGTGCAGTATTCTGAATACACCAGTTATTAATATTTCAATATAATATTTAAGCCGAACCCTACTTTGCTACCATAGTTTATGTCCAAATATCGAGGAAATCATATGAAAGAGAATTTTTTTTTTCCTTTTATCTGGTCAGACGTACTTAGGGTGTCCTAACCCTGGCTGGTTATTATTGTGATTATCAGAATTTTGAAAGCGTTAGAACTCACCGCCGATAAAAAGCCCGAAGACAATTTTCCCTTTCGAAATTATAGATTTTTAGGTGGTTCGGTGTTTTATCGGGTAGGTAATTTTCCTCTTGCAAAAGTGCGAGTAACTAAAAATTCGAGGAAGGGAATTTTGGTGATTTTGAGCGGCTCGTTATAAGCTTAAAAATCAACCCACAATAGTATGATTGAGCTCAAATCACATGTGAACTCCTGAACGTGATGCCGATTGAAGAGTGCGAGGTATATGAGGTCACTTATATTTTGCATGTTTATCAAGACACGAGGGGCCATAACGAATTGTGAGTTTTTTGGCCTTTTGTTTTAACTGTAAGAAATATGAAGAATTTTCGTATTTCAGCACGCGCCAGATATTTGGATTTGGCTCGCTTATTCCCTCGTTAGCAGTTAGAAGAGGGTCTGGGTGGGGCTCAACTGATAGCTGAGAGTTGGTTAACTGTCAGCTGACGAATAACGATACGATGAGGAATATGAATAATTAATACTGCAGAAATTCGAGTCAATTGCCAGAAAATCCGATCCTGAGGAATGGACCGGAACTGACTTTAGCATACCTAATTTATTGTTTCCTAGCGTAGTAGGGTATTTTTAGATCCTCAAAAACTCAGAATCAAATTTGTTATTTGCATATGAAACATTTTCACAAGACAAGGTATATAAAACAAATATTTTGATTCAATGCAGCATAGTTATTTATGATTCCAGCATGTGAATGGTGACAGTAATTCGGCAAACGGCACAATGAAGGGCTTAAAACCGATTTGACCACCTCCCTGAGCACTCGCTGCCTTTCTGTATCTCAATTTCTTGCAAGAGGATGTATAATCAGTTTAATTAATCTGACCTGTTGCTTTCGTTTTAGATCTGTCAGTGGGTTCCGAATACGAAGGGATCACTCGATACTTATAAACCAATAGGGCATCAGGAGGGGTTGAATTGTGACTACGATGAGAAAACCGAGACACCAATTGTGGAGTACGAGATCCTCTCGCCTAAGTAAGTGCTTCTACAAATCTAGGTAAAATGTGTTGATCCTGTTGTCATGTAAAAGGAAAACAATGTTCATTTTGTCGTTTGACTTACTGCTGAGAGAAAGGACATCTAAACGGTCATCGAGCGGTTCGACAATTACTGCAACCCAAGCAAGAATATTTCTTTTGATCGTTTTCGACAACAAGAGCCTGGCGAATCCTTAGATCGGTACGTAACTGTTCTCGCCATATCGTCGGTAAGTGTGTTTTTGATGCCATTACGCTAGATGGTATTCTTAGAGACAAGAATATATTGGTATTGCCGACAACAAGTGTTTGAGAGAGTTTTTTTTACGGGAAACCCGAACTTAATTTCGACAACACGCTTGATGTTTGCCGGACCGCAGAAAATGTTTGAGCTCAGGTCAAAGCAGTAGGCGATCTCAACTAGGCCAACGTTCACCTAGTCAAAGACAAAGAAGCAGAAAAACCGCCTAATACTCCTGCAAAGCAATTGCGGTATCTCTGCCGATTTTGCGGAAGAAAACACAGCGGGGAAACGCGAAGCTTGGCCTGCTTGGGGTTAGAAGTGCAACAAGTGCGGAAAGGATAACCATTTCAGTGGTAGAGGAAGAGGATAAACACCTGTTCGAGGTGTCGGCGAGTCAAAGTTCTGACTCGAATCTCGTTACGCTAAAGGTTGCAAGCTGGAGCTTCATACGGTTTGAGATTGACCCTGGCTCCCGATGCAATGTTTTAACGGTCCATATCTACAAGACGGCAAAGGGTGCCTACAGCCTTAAGGACGTTACTCCAGCGAAGTTGTCAATTGTGGATTATGATGGTAACAGCATTCAAGTTTTGGGAACGGTAAAGATCCAAGTGCAGTGTGGTTCGCTTACTTGTCTGTTACTGTATCGTCTGGTGGAAAGCAAACGTCCCTGTCCAATCCTAGGCAAAACGGCATGCGAAGAAATGGGCGTAATATTGGAATCAAAGACTCGGACGCGATAAGGGGGCCCGATACAGGTGGTGGTGCAATGTTCTCTATCCAAGACGCCATTTCTAGTTCTAAAATTCTACCAAAGATCAAGTCGTTGAGATGCTTTCTGAAGTTTACGACCATGGCCTCGGTACTGTCATAGACGAACACCATATCAGACTCAATGAATCAGCAAAGCACGCTCCCCGACGAGGTCAGGTTGCTCTCCGCGCTAAAGTCAAAGAAACATCTTGATAAGCTTCATGGTTCTGGAGCCATTGAACTTTGAAATTTGGGGATGTACCCTCTCTCCAGCGGTTTTCACTGCGTGGGGTAAGGCTTGCAGTATAAAAACTTCAGCTGTGCTCAGAAGAAGTCACGTTAATAGGTCACTACGAAAGTGAATCGGGTCTGAAAGTTCACCCCGACAAGGTGCGCGCTATACTGGAATTGCCACACCCCACTCATGTTAAGAGTCTACTCCGCTTCAATGGCACCGTTCACTACTTGGTTAAATTTCTTCCCCACCTGTCGGAGTTCTCTCTCCTGCTTCGTTAGCTAACTGTGAAGAATGCTGAGTGGATATGGTCAGATTCACAGGAGAAAGCGTGGAACGACATTAAAACGGCCATCAGCAGGCACCCGTCTTAAGTTACTACAGCTTAAATGATGAAGTCACCATCCAATGTGATGCTTCTCATACAGGATTAGGAGCCGCCCCTCTTCAATTACAGCAGCCAGTAAGCTTTGCATTGAGTGCCCTTATCCAAACTAAAAGGAGATACGCTCAAATTGAGAAATAGCTGCTCGCCATTGTGTTCGCTTCCTAGAAATTTGACAAGTATATTTTTAAGCGGGATTTTGTCTAGGTGGAAACAGACCACAAGCCCTTGGAGAGATCTTTAATAAGAGTCTCTTTGATGCATATGCAAGACTACAGCGAAGGCTTCTCCGACTTCTGCGTTACAATCTCGAAGTTAGGTACAAGAAAGG